TTGTTAACTACTATGATTGGAATGACTTCTATATTCGTACCATATGGTACAGAATACGTGTACAGCTTTAAAAATTATATAAACCAAAAACCATAGAAATAATATACCTAACACAGCGGTGAAAATTGTCTGTACGTGCGCATAATATATAATATTATAATATTGTGTGTGAACATAGCACCGATGTAAAATATGATTTATACTCACAATATAGTTTATTATATTGGTTTACATATTACACGTAATAATATACTATTTTATACGTATTATTATAAAATTATTATAAATAAAATCACATAAAATATAACAAGACGTGCCTATAGGTTTTTTATCGATTTATTATCCGTTCTATCGTTTAGATCATAATTTATTGCGACGGTTCGATTAGGTATTATTTACTATTTTTACTCGTATATCCAATTCAATCTATACCTATATTGTAATATATCATACATTATTATAATATTTCCCAGCAATGGTTTTCTATATAGGTACATAACACAATATTTCACTATGTGAAGGTGCCTCTACCTATATATTATTATTACGGTTTTCGGTCGCGAACCTTACGTCGTCGAGTCATCGCCCGACTGCAGTTGCGGCAGTGGTGTAATAATGATAATAATGAGAAGAAGTGCCTTCAACGGATTGTCGAAATAATAATAATACAATATATTGTATGGGTATATATATGTATTATATTATTATTATTATTGTAGGAGGTACGCGAGTATAATCGCGATACGCCAAACTTGGAATATACATATATATAGCCAGTATTATATTATATAGATCCCGATTTACGTGATAGCGGTCCAACTCGGTCCAAATATAAACGAGGGATGGGTCCATCCATTATGTACATTGTTTATATTATTATCGTGTTACAGCATACCTGCACATATTATTATTATTATTGTACGACACATCGCAGGAACGTCTTCTGGGTCTGCCGCCCGCGCCAAGTGGGAGATTGAATATTATTATAATTTTTTGTCTCGCGTATTTATTTATTATTTTTCTTTTTTTTTTTACCAAGTGAAAGCTGCAGCGGCGGCGGTATATTAATTGTGACCGCCTTCTTGCAGGAGTTATCGCACAATGCGGCGGCGGCGGTATAATATGAAACACGTCGCGTCGCGTCTGCGGCATTCGCGTACACTGATGCAAACCGGAATTATTGTTGTTTTCGGCGCAAAAAAACGATAATAATATAATAAAATGTACAATATTCATAAATTATTAGGTATATTATATTATAATATTATGCAATTATTGCGCAACGCAATCTACCTATACCTGCTATTTGTTTTCCGCTATTAATGTTTCACGTTTGTGTACTGCCGATTCACCCACGCCAGGTACCCGGTTTCTGGTACAACTACTCTCAATAATATGTGGCCCGGTTAAGGCGGGTTTCCACTATGCACGTAAATCCTTAGCTGTGATTGGTTGGTTAGAATCATTTACCACACGATTAACCACGATACCGTGTTGTTGGACGTAGCTGAACATTTTTCGTGTAGGTACACGGTAAACGTGTATAGTGGAAACTCGCCTTTACACATTGTCATTAGATGTTATTATTATCTGCTTCGTTCAGTAGTATGTAGTTGGAGACCTGCTGCACGGTATGTGTATGAGAAAATTCGGGTTCTTTGTGAGAGATACCATCGTTCAACTGTATACCTAATGTGGTATATGGTTGATACCTACCTTATACCTTATACAGGGATTGGAAATTGAACGGTCTCAAGGTGGGTTTCCACTACACAGGTGTACGTGTACGTGAATTTATTTAGCGGATCCGTTCTCAATGAACGGTCTCACAAACGTTTCCCATAGGTTGATATGGGTTAGATCGGTTAGGAATGGTAACATATCAGTTACCTCATATATTCTTAACGGAGGGTTTCCACTATACACGTTTGCCGTGTACACGAAAAATGTTCAGCTATATGTCCAACAACACGTATCGTGGTTAATCGTGTGGTAACTTAACCTAACCAACCAATCACAGCAAAGGATTTGTATACGTGTACATACACGTATGAAGTGGAAACCCACCATCAAAGATTTTGGTTTCTTGGAAATATTTTTAACAATAAGTTCCGTTTCATTTTTGGTTAGGTTTCTGCAGTCTCTATATAGCACTCGGTGAATTAATTTCTCGAGTAAACACTAAGTAAATGGAGAATTTGTCATGCTTACATTTTTTTTACAATATTAATGTTATGTACAGGCTGGTTAATTGGTAGGTATACTGATATTTCAAAGACAATACATTAAACAAATTAAAGGTTGGCAGTGCTGTAATTTTACACTACGAACCATTGTCACAAGATATATTTCGTATAAATTTCAATTTCAATTTATTAATTTTCTTCGTCAAACACACAAAACGCAATCATGTCATATAGATACCTAATACCTAATATTATAATAATATACATAGGCAGTCGCCGAATTTCGCAGGTCAGTGTACCAAACAAGACGTCATAATGTGCCGTATATAGTATATCTATTATCTACCTATATGTATAGTGTATACTGTATACAGTGTAACTCTACAGTAACATACAATAAAATAGGTAGGTACATCATGTGAGGCCGCGGTTTTTACACTATAACATAATAGGTAAAGTAGATACGAGTTGCGGACCGCGGTCATACATAAACGCATCTATTCAAAACGTATATCTACCGTAACGTGTTTCTAAAAAAACCCAAAACTATTTTGCCATTCAAAAAAAAAATCACATACTTGTGATCACGTGTACCTATATATCACAATATATGTCTATAATAATGTTACATTTTATGTATATAAATATGAAACGCGAGGAAAGGAAACACGCCTCGGCTATTCAATTGTGTGTATATTAATATAATATTTGTACAGACGTACCAATGTCTCCAAATATACAAATGGAATATATATTGTATCACGATATAATATAAAACTCTGTACCTGTCTGCTTATTATTTACACATAAATAAATTATAAACCTACCTATATACGTTGAATTGATTCGAGAGCAAACACGTGTCCGTGGTGGTGTAGAATAAACCAAATTATAGACGAAATTGTAGTATCGATATTTCTATATTATAATACATTATGATATTCTCGAATGTTACGCAAGAATATTACCAACTGATTTTTTAAATTCAAATTTAAAAATCACACACAGCAGTGAATAGTAATTCAAAAATCCTACCCGAGTCATAAACACAAACCACCTTGTCCATTGATATCATATAAAAAACAAAAATATTTGAGATATAAATCGCATAATATCATATCAAAGGTCTTCATTTATATAGGTATATTAGATAAAAGTGAGATAAGTTTACTGACTTAATTACTATAGTTTAAAGATGTAAAACTTGAATACATAATAGGTAATTGTTTATATTTAGACAGGATACGCTATTTAAATGTACGACCTTGATAAGAAATAACAGTTCAATATATTTTGCTATTTATTATGATTCATAAATGCCGAAAAAAAAAATCGCATTCAAAATTGTATTCTCTTGTGTATTGTATCGGTCAAAATAATTAATTACTCTACCCGAAGCTTATTATTAGTGGAACTATAAACCTTCAATCTCATAAAATGATTTTTTTTTCATCGTACGGTTTGGTGATTTTGTTTATTTTGTAGGACATTTTTTATTATATGGAACAATAGTATAATTTGTAAATTAATTCAAATTGTACTGGCATGTATTTGAAGGATATGTTATAAATATATAATATGTATACATAAAATTAAATACAACCTTAAGGGGTCGTTTTTGAAGAATAGTACCTACAGCATTTGTAAGTGAGTGCAATTGTGGGTAAAGCAAACGATACTATGTTTGTGTATAATTTAGAATTTATTCTTGCTACTTCATAATATGGCACGCAGGATAACGCGTTATTTTACCACTCAATTGATTTGTTTTTGTTCCCACGTACTGATCGAGATATAATTATGGGATAATGGGTTGCAAAACGGGTTCCAATTCGCATTCGGTAATATAATAATATAATATTGAATTGAAGACGACTTTCCCGCTTTTACATACAATTTTCCATATTTGCTTAGGTTTTTGTGAATTTTCAAGTATTTTTTAAATCAAGTTTAGTCATGACTTAAATCCTGAAAATGTCTTATATACCTCAGAAGTTAGTTCTCAAGGAAATATAATTATAAATTATTATAATAATGTTATGTCTCAAATACCAAACATAAATGTATACGTATGTAAATACGCATTGGTTATATTCGCAAATATTACATTAAACAAATATATATAAATCATATCAATAAACCTATGTTACATTCAAAGTGTTAATAGTAAATAGGAAGGCAATTCCTATTTAGTATCAAAGGATAAAATAGCAAAATATAAAAATTTAAATATGTTTTTATATTACACAATATTAATAATCATATTCTGCATATTTATTATAAATTCAATTTTGCTTATTGGTTGTCGAAATGTTCTTTTTAAAAAAAAAATCGAATTCTTACAACCCATATGATATCATTACCTACCAACAGCCTATATATGTCTATTGTTTGTTTTTATTATAATTCACGTTACCTATGCTATGTGCTTATATTTCAATCAGAAGTTGAAAACTATTGTATACGACTATATGGGCTATTGAAAAAAATTATTGTATTTGCAATAAAGTAATAACTTATAATAATATATAACATAGTATAAGATATTATTTAATTTGTTTCTGAATGTTATGTGCTATAATTTATTTAGGAAATCCTTATTATATGGAATTGATTGATTGTAAAACCAACCATATTATATTTTTTATTATGTATGGAGTATTTCTTATTTTAATAAATCACTACCTATCATGCGAAAACATAGTGTTTTATCTTATAAAATATTTTGTTGAGAAAAAAAGCTTAAATGATATGTTTGTACCCAGTATAATTATTGTCCTTTTATATATAATATCGTGTTGTTGTTTTTTTCAGTTCTTGCAGTCTCTCGAATAACGGAATCTAGTTCAAAGAACATCAACCAGGTAATTATATTGTTTGTTTTCGCATGCATTATTATTGAATACCTATGTCGACGTTTGAAGACATTATTATTTTAAAATGATTAATATACATTTATGGGTAAATAATATTATAGGTTTAAGCGTTACACGGTTCAACATATTACGATGATTTTAATACGCTATGATGTTTTTTATTCGTTCAGACACTTCGATAGTTACTATAGTTCAGCGAACACCAAATATTAGTTTACAGTTTTTTATCTTAGTACTACCTACAATGTAATGTTGTATAATATTAAAGTATTCGACAATATCAGTGGTTATTCAATATTTTTTTTTTTTCGGAATCGTTGACTCATCCAGAAATTAAATGTTAACATATTATAATTGTTTAAGTTTTTTTTGGGTTCGGTCCAATGCTTTCTCCTGCAGATTTCTGTATGGGATATGTTGTAAGTCGAGCGTTTATCTGTGTACAATCTGCATTCCGTTTCTGTTAAGTGTTCGACTCGTATTATAGCAGCATATATGATGCTGGCGCCTGGAGGCTTTTATTTCCACCATTGTTGTTGTTACTATTGATATTCGAATTAAGATCATAGATTTTCCATTAGGTACAAGATATTCTAAAAACCAGGGTTGAATTATTACCTTGACTATTTCGGATGAACTCCGCGTGGATTGCACTTGCCACCGTGTTCAAAAATAATAAGAATATCGCAGCCAAAAATCTATGTACCTATATGATTAGATCTGGATATACGTGAACTAGCATGCTTTCAGTGTTCTATTGGTAAAAATGTATGAAAATTAAAACGAAAAATTGCATATGTGTATATCGTATATCGTATAAATCTTATTAAGTACCTATTCATTGTTTTTTTCATTAAATAATACGTAGGTGTAGCTTATTGTAATTTATTGAAATTATCTGGAATACATTTTGTATAGAAATTTAGTAAAAAAAAAAAATATAAATTGATTATTGTGTAATAAATAAAAATTGATCATTCATACTCATTTAGTTATTTATAGTTAGAAATTTTGACCACGAATTCAAATTGAAATTGCCTATTATTTTTCTAATAATTAAGCGTAAAATGTGGCTCAATCTTTTTAATTAGTTCTAGATTTAAGCAATAGTACTCCCTTTGTTTGAATAATTCCAAATTGCCAAATAAGTGATAACAATTTTTTAGTGAATAGGTAATTGTTTATTAAACATTAAAAGTTGCAATAATTACGTTATAACGTAATATAACATGAAAGTTACTTAGTATCGCTTTTTACAACAGTCATCACACATCTACTTAAAATAACAAAAATAAATAATATTATTGACAAGTGAGTAGTGGCAACTCATTCCTCATTCTCCTATGAAATTATAAATTAACTCAAACGTTGGAGTGTCGCCAGTGAGCGGCTTCCCCACTCAAGTCCACCTGTCTTGTAATTGTAAATGTCTGTATCACCTCTTATACTTATTATACTAAAACTCTATAGATTGAATAAATCAAATAAAAACTAAAATAAAAAATATATAAAAAAGTTCCTTTAAAAAAAATGAGATATAATTATTTCATGGCTCATAAAATCACCAAGTAGACTTTAGCGTAACTTACAAAACTGTTATTTTTTGGTATTTATTTATGGTACTATTGCTAAGGCCTGACTTGGTGACTTAATTATAATAGTCATTAATTTATACATTATAGATTTTATATATGTATCATTGGTAATGATCTGAATTATTTAATATGTACCTATAATTAATAGCCTATTTTATTTACATAACATTTTGTATTAATATTATATTATTGTGATAATAGGAATATACATATTACTTATAGACAATTTGTATAATTTGATCAAATCAATGATCGGGTTTTAAAATGTATAAGTTGTATGAAACATAAGTAAGTAGGTATATTTCTATATCAGGTGCTTAATTTGAAAATAAATTTGCGGGAAACACTTCTCTTTTTTCTTTAATGTTTATGAACATTTTTTAAACTGTAGTAACCTACTTATCTTAGACCTCGATTATAAAGTTTATGATGTACCTACATCGCATTAACTTGCAATACAACTACAACTCACATTCTCCAATTAGAATATAGTAATATAATTTGATTACTCTTCATATGATTTTATATTATTTAATGTTTCTATTTAAGTATCATCTTGGTAAAATGGACATTATAATAATACAATGGTCAGTGGAAAAGTTACGTATATAATTGTATTTATTTTGTTAAACATCATCATTGTTATTGGGTTATTGAGAAATAATACATCGTATGTGTGACCGCACTACACACTAAGTACAATTCGTATAGTTAGGACCTTTTCTGAGATATCTTCAGGCAATATTTTTTCTCAAACTACCTATCGATACCAACATCAGGGCTGATTTAGCTATGAGGAGGCCTCCAGACTTTCAATAAAGGGCGTATCATATCATTTATTTTTCCTAAAAGTAGTTGGTTAGCGACTATTGCCAATAAATCAAAGAAATAATACTTTTGTATTGGAAGCCCAGGTTCAGGTATTTCAATTTTCAATATAAATTTTGTCGAGTCCCCCAGGCCTGGACACTACCTAAATTAAGCCATAGTTAATATACATACTACCTATCTCTGCTTATCCTACCTCTTTTCTATGAATCTTAATTTTTTTATTAGGAGTAAATATGGAGTAAATTCTTTGTTTTTACATTTACTTTGCAATTATGAATTTACGTTTATGTATACTATGTTGGTATACATCTTTCTATAAATCGCTGAATGTGTTACTAAGCGCAAATCTTGAGAGCAGCTGAACCGATTTCGCTAATTCTTTTTTTATAATATTCCTTGAAGTACGAGGATGGTTCTTACGGAGAGAAAAATTTAGGGAAATCCACCTGAAAAGTAGGAAATCTGGATGTAAAAAATACAACAGTAGCGCAACAGTGTATTATATATATTGGTTGCTATTGGTTAGTCGGGCATGTTGTTGATTTGTATTATTATTTTTTGTCAATATATATTATATGTATATAAATGAATGTTTGTGTGTAGATTAGACCGCTGGGAAGAAGACAGGCTAATTTAAAAATGGTTAAATTTGGTTTTTTTTTATTCATCTGATATTAGTAAGGTTAGGTTAGGTTAGGATTTTGTATTAATTGATTATATTAATCCACCATAGGTGAAATACGACAAACTTGGTATAACATTGATACTTTGGAGTTAAATGAATCATACACTTACTTACAAACATCACATAAAGATGATGATGCCTACCAGATAATATACTGCTGCGAATTAGAATTTTTATTCCTAGCAACGGAAAAGTTAAGATAAACTTTGAAAAACTTACAACATACCAACACTGAATATTAAATAATGAATGGAACAAAGTTTGAGTCATAAAGAGTTGGTACATTTAACGGGAAACGAAGTGCACGGGATCAGTTTTAGTTGACTTAATTGTAATTAGCTTATCTAGTTTATTTTTTATTGTACCTAATAATATTTCTAATTAGCTTAAAAAGTAATAAATTAAATTTAAATTTAAAATTATGATGATATTTTACCTTTTAACAAAGTGTTTTCATAATTTAAAAAAAAAAAAAAATATTTCAAACAATTATAATTTTAAAGTACATTATTATAAGATTTTTTCCAGGAATTCACTTCATCTATCATTCTATAAATACATACAGTGTCAAAAAATAAATAAATAAAATAATTAGATCTCTTGATGATAAAGCATATATTAATAAAATTAAAATTATTCAGTATGTCTAAACATAATATCTTATATGTAGGTATGTATTATAATGGGTAATAATTTACAGTATAATTTGTAACGCTGAAGTTTATTTTGTTTCTAAAGTATCCATCTACTACCTATACTATGTTTAGTTAATTAAATCCTATTTTCATTTGTATAAGTAAAATACTTTAAAACAAATTATTATATCCACGAAACTCATATAGCACACAAGAGCTTATAGCTCATTTGGTATACTTATCAGCTATAAGGCATTAATGCAATTTATTGTAATTATTTAAATGTAATTGATTTGTCTAAAATAATTATAAATAAAAAAGCATAAAAAAACAAACAAACAAAATACTGTAATAACTTTTAATAATATACCGTAAAAACACAGGTATAAAACTTGTTTTTCCATTGGTGGAACGCATAGTAACCCATTATTAATGTACCTTGCAAGAATAAGAAAAAAAAATTTAACTACAATGAAGATTTGAAAATTGCAATAGTTGAATAAAATGGCAAAAAATTTCTGGAGGTCGAGCGCTCTGCAGCATTCGTAGACAAATGTGATGGGTGATCCCCTTTTTTGGTAAGTTACCTTGTATATAACTAGCCAGTTCTCCTGGGTCAGTGGAGTTTGTTATGTATCCTTAAGAATGGGTTTTTTTTATGCCATACGGCTTATTTGGACATTTGTCACACGACAGACCTCCGAAGGTATAGCGGCCAGCAGGTCGTATATATATAAGACATTCGGTCGATTACCGCGACAACGCAGAACAGAAGTCGTCTGTTCTAAGTATAGTGATCGCCGGACTATGGACGTGCGCCAGAATGCTAGATGGCGCTATCATATCCTAATCGTGAACTCAGTTGCAGCCACCACGCGTCATGATATCACAGATTCCGTGTGCTTTAAAAATCAGAATAAACTATGTATAATATTATAGTGACATGCAGCGGTGGCACTTGGAGCAGACGCAGGAAAAGGATCAGAATCAGCAGGACAAGTTTGAAAATCAGCCGCTGAGGAAGAACCAGCTGTTTCAGACAAAACCTTTAAAGCTAAATAATTCCAATTCCTTAGATTTATAAAGAATAATATATTGTGGATATTATACAGGGTTATTCAAAATGATTCATCCGATTTAAAGTGCTTATATTATTTTATTTTTTAGGTTTAGAACAATATGTTATACATTAAATAAAAGAAAAATATGTCAAGTTTAGTTAACTGTATCTATAAATGTTCT